ATATATATATATATATATAAAGAGCATTGCTTTGGATGCTGAAATGGACAGATTTGGTATCCATATGTGGAGATTTGATAGCGACATATGCCCTCACAGAGATAGTAACAAATGATAATGACAAGTGCCACTTCAAAATGGCTGCTTCAGGAGGCACATGTACTGACACAAGAGAAGGCTCTGGCCCCGGCCTGGTGGAATTCCTTACTGGGTGAGATCAGGGCCCTGTGTGCAGGGCCTGCAAGACGGAGTTGTTCTGCCGGGCCTTTGGGTGAGGCAGTGGGTGTCCAGTTATATTGGCCTCCCCTGCTCCACCCATCCCTCTCATTCCATCTTAATGGTGTTTAGCACCCATCCCCCAACCAACCGTTCCATCTGGGCATACACGTGGCGTCCTCTGCAAGCTTCCTTAATACTTCTGCCATCTTGTGGTTATGCCATCGGGTTTCTTTTTTAATTGGATTATTGTTTGACTGTTTTAGAAATGTTTTGTTCCATTTGAATTTTGTTGTGAACCACCCTGAGCCCGCTTGCAAGGGAGGACGCATTATAAATATAATTAAAAAAAATAAAACAAATAAATAATGGGGAATATAAGCATACACACACCCCGAACAAGCATAAGTGGGGAAAACATATACACAGAAGGACACAAACAATTGGGGGAAAGGGAAGACAAAATATTCACAGAGAGAGAAGGCATCCTAGAGAGGAAAGGGGTGCTTCAGCTGATCTGGTGCTCCCTAACCTCCACCTCCTCACAGTTGATACAGGGCTCCCAGATCCTCCCCGAGTGAGCACTGGGGCAGATCCAAGTGAAAAATCCTTTTATTTGTATGAAGGCCCCCAGTCACTGGTTCTTCTTTCACAATGGTGAACACTGGTTCTTCTTTCACCATGTAGAACAGTGCCTCCCAATCCCACCCAGATAGACAGTCTGGAAGGATACTATGATCAATGGTACTGAAAGCCGCTGAGATGTCCAGGATAATTGACAGAGTCACTCTCCCTTTGTCCATCTCCTGGCACAAGTCATCCCTCAGGATGACCAAGGGCTGTTTCAGTCCCATAACCAGGCCTAAACCCAGATTGGAAGGCATTTAAACAATTTGCCCCATTCAGGAAATCCTGGAGTTGTCCAGCCACTACCCTTTCCATCACCTGACTGGAAAATGGAACATTTGAGACTGGTTGATAATGAATAAGATCTCCTGGGTCCAGTGTAGGCTTCTTTAGCAGTGGACACATCCTCTTTCAAGGTTCCAGTGACCAACCTGTCTCTTAAGAGAGCATTAACTAGCTCTTCAGCCCAGTCAGCCATCCCCTTAGCAGATCTAAGTCACCTGGAAGGGTGATATAAGCAGGGGATAGCTGCAGACTTCCAGAGATCCTTCACATCCTCAGACCAAGTAAACTGAAGAGTATCGAAAACAAATGGTTGGCACCCCTCTCATAACCTCTTTTTTGTCTTTTATATTACATGCGCAATCGTTACAGTTTTGAATTAGTGTGAATGACAACATTAGCACGAACCATAGCACTGAGTATAAAAGAACTTGCATACAGACCCACCGAGACACAAATATATATCTGCTTGTCAACACAAATTTTGACGTCAGAAGCAGTTCATTCCTCTACTTTCCTCCCCATCAGCCTCTGTAAGGCTCCCTTCACATCCCTGTTTCTCAGGCTGTAGATCAGTGGGTTGAGCATTGGGGTCACGACCCCATAAACGATAGCTGTGACTTTTTCCCTATCTGTGAAAGTTTGGGTTTGAGGCTTGAGGTTTGGGTTTGAGGCTTGAGGCTTGAGGTACATGGCCAAGGCCTACCACAGCCAAATGTGAGCCACAGGTGGATAAAGCTTTCCCCCGTCCTTGGGCAGAGCGGATGCGCAGAATAGCCAGACCAATACGCCCGTATGCCACAAGGATGAAAACAAAGGGCAACAGAAGAGTGAAAACACTCGTTATCAGCATATTAAGGCCAGTGGCTCGAATGTCAGAGCAGGCCAATTTCAACATTGCCTGGGCCTCACATGCAAAATGATTCAACATATTGCGGTCACACAAGCGGACTGGCATAATAAAAAAGGGAGCAATGGTAAAGAGGAAAGAGCTGACCCAAAGGCTGACCACCAGGATTATGCACACCTTCCAATTCACAATTAAGCTATAGTGTAGAGGGCTGCATATTGCCACAAAGCGGTCATAAGCCATGACAGCCAGTACGAGGCAGTCAGCCACTCCCAAAAATAGAGTGATGAACATTTGTGCAAAACACCTGCCCAGGGGGATAGTGGGCCTGTCTGTGAAGCAATGCGCCAGCGTCTGTGGGACAGCGTTGGTGCCATAGCAGATGTCAATGAAGGAGAGGTTGCTGAGGAAGAAATACATGGGAGTATGGAGATGAGAATCTACCACGATCAACACCACAATGAGACCATTTGCAGTTACGGTGACGGCATATATGACTAAGAAGAGGACGAACAAGGCAGCACGCACATGGGGCTGTGTGGAGAGGCCCATGAGCACAATCTCAGTCACTGTGGTCGCATTCTCCCAATCTTCCATATTTCCTGTAAGAGGGAAATTGAGAATCATAGTATCATTTGCATGAAATTTTATCCTACAGACCTCTTCAATCCATCCTATTGTTAAATGTGTGAATGCGGAATCCAGCAAAAAACTTTTTTGGTTCTCAACCTGGAGCCATCCCACAGTAGAGAAAAAATGCATGTAAATAAAACTGGTGTGCTTTGTCGGTCTCAACTACACCAGTTGGTCCAATTGCAAAACTTACAATGAAAGCTTTACTAGATGAATCTGATCTTATCCCTCCAAATCTGCATGTTTAGATAAAACATGCTGATATCGGGAAAGATATCACATTGTAGTGGCAAAGATTTCTGTAACCAGATGAACGCTGAGTTAACCCATTACAAATATCTCTTCCTTTCCATCTTTATTTTTTCCAGTGGTCTAATTGTTTGGTTTCTACCATTTTGGTTCAAAATTTTATGGGTACTGTGATGAGTCATTAAGGAGAATTATACTCTGCTCTGCAGCAGGTGTGGGAAGGCTGTTCACCTGCTAATGGGAGAATGGGCATGATTCAGAGGATGGTCCAAAGTGAACTTCAATTATTTAACTAAATAAGTCTGGCACCACAAACTTTAAATTTCCCAGGAATTACACATTTGGTGGTTGCTTACTGTGACCTCATACGGTTTTCAAGGAAAGAGATGAATAGGGGTGGTTTGCCATTGTCTCCCACTGTGTAGCAACCCTGAGATTCCTCAGTGGTCTCCTATCCAAGTACTAACCAGGGCTGATCCTGCTTAATTTTCATGATCTGATGAGACTGGTCTAGTCTGGTCCATCCAGGTCAGGGCAATAGCACACGGGCCACACATTTTTAAATGGAAAGTTGAGTCACACAAACTTTTAAAGAGGCAAAGCCATGTGTGGAAGGGAAGAGCCAGGGGAAGACCATAGGAGCAAGGAAAGGATGATGTATTTTCTCCTTCCCCACCATTAAGTCCAAATGACCTGCCTCTGAATTGTCTTTCTTTCTTTCTTTCTTTCTTTCTTTCTTTCTTTCTTTCTTTCTTTCTTTCTTTCTTTCTTTCTTTCTTTCTTTCTTTCTTTCTTTCTTAAAAAACAACCTGTGTAATAGATACTGAGATCTGTATATCCCATTATATGTCAAAAGAGTTAATCCAACAATTTTGCAAATTTGCACACAATTGTTTTCCCTTAACTCATTTTCTATAGGAGTGCATGTGTATGGTTGCGATCCGATGTGCCTTTAGATCCAATATAGCTGCTGATGCCAGAGGGATCTAAAGTGCATGATCAGACAGCAACATCTGGGAAATGTTCTGCATTCATCAGCACCCTGTTCTGCCCCGCCCCTGAAATGGAGTAAAAAGACACTGGGAAAAGTCTGGTTCTAACGCTTGCCGATGGATTTTCCATAGTCTAATCACTCAAGTGTGCTCTCAGGCTGTTGGGATGGTCTGCTCATTTCATCCCAACTGGGCATCTTTTTTTTTTGCTCGCTCAGCGATATGCGCATAACCACATAATCATCCCCATCTCTAGGCCAGCTTTGAAAACAAACAGGAAAGGGAGAGATCTTTGTCAGGCGACCACGGCTCACTGTGAAACAAAGGGATCACAGTGCTTCATGGAAGGATCGGCGAGTGGTCAAAGTGGAGACTCAACTCCCAGAAGTTGGAAAGCACATGAGCAAAAAACTGCACCCTCGTTTAGGCGCATGTGCAAAAGCAGGCAATCCCCCTCGCCTGTCCATGCCATCTGATTGTACAGTGATGGGATGAGCCCACAGTGAAATGGATTATACTGGGATGTCTGATCGAGCGACTCCGTTTCCAATACCAACGGATGAAATAGGAATGCCTTCTGACTGCGCCAAATGGCATGCCTGACCGCAGCCTATGTGTGTTTTAATTTTATCTCCTATTCAGCACTTTATTTCTATATACCCCTTTTGATTATTAAAACAACAAAAAAGGCAAATTTCCACTAACCGCATTGGTTGTTAGGAGTGTGACGGAATCATTCTGTTGCCTCTCTGCGATGGAGTTTCACCATAGCTTGATTCCTGCAGACATCTGAAGCAAAGTGTCAGGTCACAGAACCGTTCATGCATTATCCACAAAAGCAGCAACACTTGTGAATAGCTGAGGGGGGGGGCAAGTCTCTTTACTTGCAGAACTGCAGCTAACACAAACTTCTAAGACAATACCCTCTTTGGGCTAAATGATACCAACTTCTCTGATTGGAAATTCAGATATTCTAAAAGCAGGGGAAGAGGATAACTTAAAGTAGAAGTATCAAGCAATCAGTTTCCAGCTCTGATTCATTGGTTTAAATATATTTAGCTTGATTTTCTCCTCTCTCCTTACCAAGTTAGGACCCACACTTTTAAAAAAGAAAGATCTGAACATTAGATACATGTGTACTTTTCATATCTAATTACTTTTTAAAGAACAAAGTATCCCATGATTAATTACACCTGTCTCCTACAATAGAACAAAATTGTCCTTTATATTTCCTGAAAAATCCATTGTTTTTACAGTCTTAGGCAGGAAACAAAAACTGGACATTTGCCGAGTTAAAAAATAAAATAAAATCATAATACTATCCACCCTGACCTGAACAGTTCAGGCTGGCCTTATGTCATCGTACTGGCCTGGTCTTGTCATATCTTGGAAGCTAAGTTAGTACTTGGTTAGTACTTGGATGGGAGATCATGAAGAAAGTCTAGGGTTGCTACACAAAGGCAGGCACCCACTTGTTTGTCTCTTGCCTTGAAAACCCTACGGGGTCACTGTAAGTCAGGTGCAACTTGGCAGCACTATTCTACTCCTAACGTTATCTATTATATATTAGTTTAGTTTCATATGATTTATTTATTTATGTCCCACCTTCTTCACCAATGAGGACTCAATGTGGGTTACCTTGGGTCAGTCACAAGCTCTGGCACAGCTGTTCCTGAAAGTGGAGTGTGTTTAAAAGAGAATTTGAGTACGTGTCAAGAGAACGCTAGTGTGGTCTCGAATCATGGGCAGAACATCTGTTAATCTCTGAAGTGTGGAGGCAGGGACAACCCTAGCTGTTTGCTGTGCTGTAATCATGAATCTTGGTTCAACCGGTGCTTTGTGCAAATCTATCTCCGTTTATAGAAGTCAAAATAACACCAATGGTGAGTTTTAGATTCCAACAGTGCCATACTAAGCAGAGTTACATCCTTCTCTGCTTATTTATTATTATTATTTATTAATTATATTTATACCCCGCCCATCCTGCGAACAGGTTCAGGGCGGCTAACAAAAGCGGGTAATACCACAAGTTGAGACAATGTCTGAATGTCCTTAAGTGATCTTTGAATTAACTATACTTTTGTCTGTAGTTTCATACATTTGAGCAGAACTATTTTTTGGAATTAATAAAAGGTTTATACCTTTTAGGTTATCTATCTGCCTAATATGATCGAGACTATGCTTAGAACCAATGTTCCCGCTAAGCTGAGTTAGTGTGAGCTAGCTCACAGTTTTTTAACCTCCCGCTCACACTTTTTTGTCTTAGCTCAGGAAGGATGGCTCCGGAGCAAACTAATTTATACAGCAGCCAAATTGCTCGCTCACAACTTTAATGCCAGTAGCTCACAAAGTAGGATTTTTGCTCACAAGACTCCACAGCTTAGAGGGAACATTTCTTAGAACCTAGGAGGTACACACGGCAAATATCCGCTATATGAATGGGCATCATTTTCTGAACCTTATAAAAAGAAGATCTTTGATTATTCTTACTCAGTCTTCATCTGGAAAAGACGAAAACACTACTGTGTTGTGGTCAGCACATTGTTTTTAAGCAAAATCCAGGATGAGTCCAATGACTGTTTTTGAAGGTATGATCTCATTCTGAAGATCAGAACTTCACAACTGTCCTTGGAAATCCAGAGGGACCACCTCCCATGGAGACAATTAGCTAAGAAGAGCAGAGCAGAAGCTGAAAGTATTAACTTGATGTTACTCCACTGAGGTTCTCACCAGTTAATGGAAACATTTCTGTCGATATGTTGGAAGGATATAACGAAGTAAAGGAATTCACTCTGGTCTTTGTGGTCTGCTGAAACTCCAGGGTTGGGGTTTTTTCATATATAAGGATCTTGAATCTCTTTTTGCTCCCAGAATTTTAAAGCAAACTTAAAGGCTTCTCCTCATGCAAAACAGTTTTGATAATGACACCAATATATAGGTTAACTAGTTTATTAATGACTGATTACTGGCAGGTCTACATAAGAACATAGGAGAAGCCAATGTTGGATCAGGCCAATGGCCCATCCAGTCCAACACTATGTCACACAGTGGTCAAAAATACCAGGCGCCATCAGGAGGTCCATCAGTGGGGCCAGGACACTAGAAGCCCTCCCATTGTTGCTCCCCCCCAAGCACCAAGAATACAGAGCATCACTTGCCCCAGACTGAGAGTTCCTATCTATACCTTGGGGCTAATAGCCACTGATGGACCTCTGCTCAATTAAATTTGAATAAAATGCTCAATTAAACTTCCCTGAATTAGTGCAAAATAATCTCTTGCAGCTACCAGCATTTGGGGCAAGCACACCATGGCTACAAATTTAGCCAGCATTATCACTAGCTTCATTTAACCTCATCTCCATGTGCTGTTCAAAAACTAAGAGCATGGCTGATGCTGCTAAATCACAAAGTCATTCCCTCCCCAGCCCAACAGACAACTCAATCCAATTACAGGATAGCTAGGGAACTGCCAGCCCATCATTAGAAGGCTCAGGGTTGTTAGATTAAGGAAGGCCTAAACCCACCAAGACAGACCTAAAGCCATTTTTTCCTTGACAAGTTGTTTCCAAAAGAGAGAGAAAATTTTCACTGTTCCATCTGCTGTTCCATCCAGCCAAAGACAATATAGATCAGGGGTGTTAAACATATGGCCCGTGGGCTGGATCTGGCCCCTGCAGGGTTCCTATCCAGCCCATGAGCAACTGGCTCTCTGCTGCTTCCTTCTTCCTGTTCCTGCTTCCTGTTTCCTGCATC